GCGAGTCACCCTGAGGTCTGCGTTATTGCAGAGGAGGGACGTGGTCAGTATAGAGGTTTTTGTCTCGGTGTAAGTCTCCCAACATGAAGACGTGAGATGTTTGGATGGAGTCCACTTGTGAGGAGAATCTCCCGCTTCAAAAAGGTCGCTCTGTGGTTTAACTTCTGAGTATTGTACTGGTTTAGCAGCGTTTTCCTGGAGCTGTCTGACTCTGGCGTTGAGGCGCTCGTGTTTCTCCTGCAGCAGGTTGAGCCTCGTCTCCACGCCGTCCCTCCCGTGCTCCCTGCTCTTCCTCGGCTCCTCGTCTCCGGGATCCGCCTCGTCCCTTCGCCGTGTGTTTATTTCGCTCTTAAAGGCCCCGATCTTGCGATGAAGCTCTCTGAATCTTCGCAGCTCCTCCTTCAGCGAGTCCCGCTCACGGATTAAACCGGGCAGGGACTCCAGCTTTCCATCTTCAGCTGCTAAATCTTTCCTCTTTCGATACAGATCATCCTCCTTCGCTTTCAGAATTACGTTTTGGCTCGTGAGCTCAGAGCGTCTTTTCTCCAACTCATTCGCCTCCTTCAGAAGCTCATATTCTCTGGCTGCGATTTCTGTTTGTCTCTTGAGAACTTCCGCCTGGTGCCGAAGGTTCAGTTTTTCCAAATCGAGGACATGAGACGAGTCCAGCTTCTCTTTATCGTCTCTAAAATCGTTCAAAAAGTTTCTCCCTGATCTCTCCTCTCTCTTTCCGGTGTTTCTCCCTAAGCTTCCCCAACTTCTTCTCGTGCTCCTGCTCCATCTCCTGACGTTCCTTCTGGAATCGTTCAGCCAGCTTTCTGCCGAAGCGCTGCATCATCTCATCACGCTTGGCCTTCATCAGGGCTTTACTCTCTTCTTCCAGGTGTTCTACGAAAGAGTTTAGTTTTTCGTCCTTGTTTTTCTGGAGTCTTTGCTTTTCTGCCGCGAACTCGTCTTCCAGCTGAGCCCGCAGTTCGTCCAGCTTTATTTTGTTGCTGGATTTAAGTTTGTTCTTCATCTCAACCTGCTGTTTCTGGAATTTTGTTTTGAGGACCTTAAGGGAGGCATCGTTTTCTTTCCTTATTTTTTCTTCCTGTTTCTTCTGTTCAGTGTCGAGCTTTTGTCCGAGTCTCTCGAGGGTCTTCTCAGATTCTCCCTTGAGTCGGTCTTCCTCCTTGGTCCTTTCCAACAAAGTCCGACGGATAGTCTCAAGTCTGTTGACGTACTTCGCCTTCAGACTCCTCGCCTCCTGCCGGATTTCTTCTTCTGCTCTTTTCTGGTTTGTCTGGAGCGTTACTCTGAACTGCTCCAGATTTTTCTC